TCTCAGGGTTCTGAGTTCAAGCCCTAAACGCGGCTCCATACTAAGTGGGGAGTCTACTTAGGGAAAGAAACTTAAAAAAAAAAAAAGGTGGATTTGGGTTAATTGCAAATGTATATTGCAAAATCTAGGGCAATCACTGAAAAAAGTAAAATTTAAAAGTATCACTGATATGCTATAAAAGAAAATGGAATCATAAAATTCATGAGAAAATTCAACAGAAGGCAGGGCACCAGGTGACTCAGGTCGCGATCTTGGGGTGCTGGGATCGAACCTGTGTCGGGCTCCCTGCTTAGCAGAGAGTCTGCTTCTCCATCTCCCTCTGCTTATGTCTCTGCCTCTCTGTCTCTCTTATGAAAAAACAAATCCTTTTTTTTTTAAAGAAAAGAACAAAGAAGAGTATTACATAAGGGAGTCAATTCTTCAAGCAAACATAGCAACCCTTAATGTGTATGTAACTAACAATAAAGTGTCAAAATATGAGAGGCAAACCTGATAGAACTGCAAGGAGGAAGAAATAAATCCAATAACAGTTGGAGACTTCAATACTCTCTATCAGATATGGAGAGATCAAGCCAGAAAAAAAAAAAGACCCCATAACATTAAGGACATAGCTACACTCAACAGTACTATCAATCATCTGGATAGAAGTAACATGTACAGACTATTTCATCCAACAATAGAGAACATACATACCTTTCAAGCTTACATGGAACATTCACCACGATAAATCTCACTTGGGGCCACATCCAAACAAATACAAAAGAATATAAATCCTACAATGTATGGTCTCAGACCACAATGGACTTTAAGAATAAATCAAAAAGAGGGCTGGAAAATCTCAAAATTTTTGGCAATTAAACAGCATACTTCTAAATAACACATGGGTCAAAGAAGAAATCAAGAAAAGTTACATGATATTTTGAACTACATGAAAATGAAAACACAACTTATCAAAATTTGTAGGATGAAACAAAGCAGTGCTCAGAGGGAAATTTATATAATTGAAGGCATACATTAGAAAAGAAGAGACATCTAAAATCAATAATTTAAGTTTCCACTGTAGGTAACTAGAAAAAGAGAAGCACATTAAATTCAACATAAGCAGAAGAAAAGAAACAAAATTAGAGCAGAAATCAATGAAATCAAGGGGTGCTTGGCTAGCTCAGTCAGAAGAGCATACAACTCTTGATCCTGAGGTTGTGAGTTTGAGCCCCATGTTGGGTACAGAGATTACCTAAAAATAATTTTTAAAAAAAGGAATCAGTTAAATTGAGAACAGAAAATCAACAAAGAAAATCAATGAAACCCAAAGCTAGTTCTTTGGAGAGATCATTAAAATTGATAAACCCCTAGCCATGACAAGAAAAAAAGGGAAGACACAAATTACTCATATCAGAAAGAAAGATAAAACATCATTATGGATCCAATGAACATTTAAAGGATAATAAAGGAAATTCTGAATAACCCCACACTTGCAAATTTAATAACCCAGATTAAAAGGATCCATTCTTTGAAAAGACACATTGGCAAAATACACACAAGAAAAAGTAGACAATATGAATAAGCCTGTATCTATTTTAAAAATTGAATCATTAACTAATAACCTGCCAAAATGGAAAGCACTAGACCCAAATGGGTTCACTGAAGAATTCTATTCAACATTTAAGTATGAAATTATACCAATTCTCTACAATCCCTTCCAGAAGATAGAAGCAGAAGGAATGATTCCTAACTCATTCTATGAGACATTACCCTAATGCAAAAATCAGATAAGGACATTACAGGAAAAGAAAATTAAAGATCAGGGTCTCTGATGAACAAAGTTGCAAAAATCCTCAACAAAGTATTAGTAAACTGAATCCAACGATGTATAAAAACAATTATGCATCACAACCAACTGGGATTTATTACTGATATGGAAGGTTGGTTCAACTTTCCAAAGCCAATTAATGCAATCCATTACATAAAAAAGCCAAAGAAGAAAAATCATGTGATCATACCAATAAATGAAGAAATACATTTGAAAAAAATCCAGTACCTATTCATGATGACAACCCTCAGCAAAGCAGGAATAGAGAGGAACTTCCTCAACTTGTTAATAACATATTTAATGATGAGAAACTTAAAGCTTTCCTGCCAAGACCAGGATAAAAGCTAGGTATCTCCTCTCACTACTCTTTTCTAAATCATATGCCAAGTCCTAGCTAATGAGGTAAAAAAAAAAAAAAAAGATATAAAAGTGAACAGATTGTAAAGAAATAGAACTTTGTTCACAGATGACAGACTGTCTATGTAGAAAATGTGAAAGAATCGACAAAACAAAACTGCTGAAACTAATAAGCAATTATAGCAAAATTGCAGGATACAAGGCTAGTATATAAAAGCCAATCACTTTATAACACACGAGCAAGTGGAATTTGGAAATTAAAATATATTACCATTTACATCATCACCTAAAAAATGGAAATACTTAGGTATAAATGTAACAAGCTATGATCAAGATCCTTATGAGGAAAACTATAAAATTCTGGTGAAAGGCATCAAAGAAGAACTAAATAAATGGAGAGATGTTCCCATGTTCATGGGAAGTAGGACTTGATACTGACAACTTTATCTATACATTCAGCATAGTCCAAATCAAGATTCCAGCAAGGTATTTTGTGGTTATCAACAAACTGATTCTAAAGTTTAAATGGGAAGTCAAAAGATCTAGAATAGCCAGCTCCGTATGGAAGAAAAATAGAGAATTGACACTACTCAATTCCAAGACTTACTATAAAGCTATAGTAGTCAAGACAGCCTGATATTGGTAAAGGAATGAACAGGTCAATAGAATTGAATAGAGAGGGGATCCCTGGGTGGTCCAGCAGTTTAGTGCCTGCCTTTAGCCTGGGGTGTGATCCTGGAGTCCCGGGATCAAGTTGGAGTTCCAAGATCAAGTCCCACGTCGGGCTCCCTGCATGGAGCCTGCTTCTCCCTCTGCCTGTGTCTCTGCCTCTTTCTCTCTCTCTCTCTCTCTCTCTCTCTCTTTCTCTTTCTGTGACTCTCATGGATGAATAAATAAATAAAATCTTAAAAAAAAAAGAATTGAATAGAGAGCCCAGAAACAGACCCATATAAATATAGTCAACTGGTCTTTGACAAAGGAGCAAAGGCAATACAATAAAGACTGCCTTTTCAACAAATGGTGCTGGAAGAATTAGCCATTCACGTGCAAAAGCAAACAGAAAGAAAGAATCTAGATTCAGACCATATATCCTTCACAAAAATTAACTCAAAATGGATCACAGACTTAAATGTAAAATGCAAAATCATATAACTCCTAGAGCAGTGGAGAAAACCTTGATGAATCTGGGTATGAGGATGACTTGTTATGTACACCAAGGGTACAATCCATCAAAGAAATAAATGATATACTGGGTTTCATTAAAATTGAAACCTCTGTTCTACAAAAGACAATGCCAAGAGAATGAGAAGACAAGCTACAGATAGGGGAAAAAAATATTTGCAAAGAAGAGATTTGATAATGAACTGTTATCTAAAATATGCAAAACAATCTTAAATCTACAATGTGAAAAATGGACAACCTGCTTAAAAAATGGGCCAAGGACTTGAAAAGACACCTCACCAAAGAATACAATAAGCATTTGAAATCATATGCCATTAAGCAAGTGCAAGTTAAGAAAAAATAAGCTATTACACACCTATTAGAATGGTCAAAATCCAAAACACTGACAACACTAAATGCTGAAAAGGAGGTGGGTTGGAGCAGCAGTAACTCTCACACACTGCTGAGGGACATGCAAAATGGTACAGCCACTTTGGAAGAAAGTTTGCCAGTTTCTTACAAAACCAAACATACTGTTTTTTTTTTCTTTAAGATTTTATTTATTTATTCATGAAAGAGAGAGAGCGAGAGAGGGTGGTAGAGGGAGAAGCAGGCTCCTCACAAGGAGCCCGATGTGGGACTCGATCCCAGATCCCGGGATCACACCCTGAGCCAAAGGCAGACACTCAACCACTGAGCCACCCAGATGTCCCTAAATATACTCTTAATTATACAATCCAGCAATCATACTCCTTGGTATTTACCTTAAAGAATCAAAAACTTACGAATACACAAAATCTTGCAAATGTCACATCCTATATGATACCAGCTATATTACATTCTCAAAAAGACAAAACTATGGACACAGTAAAAAGATTAGCAGTTGCCAGGGGTTGAAGGGGTAGAAAGGATGAATGGGCACATCACAGAGGACTTTTGGGTAGTGGAGTACTCTGTATGATACTATAATGGTGGATGTATGTCATTATACATTTATTAAAACTCAAGAGTAAACCCAAATGTCAACTATGAACTTTGAGTAATGATGGGCCAGTGTAGGTTCATGGATTATAACAAATGTACCACTCTGTTGCCTGACAGTGGGGGAGGCTATGGGGTGGTGGACAGAGAGTTTATGGGAACTGTATACTATCTGCTCAATCTTACTATGAACCTACTGAAACCACTCTAAGAAAAATCAAGTCTGGGGAATCCCTGGGTGGCTCAGCAGTTTCGCGCCTGCCTTTGGCCCAGGGTGTGATCCTGGAGTCCCGGGATCAAGTCCCACGTCGGGCTCCCTACATGGAGCCTGCTTCTCCCTCTGTGTCTCTGCCTCTCTCCAAGTCTATTTTTTAAAAAAGAGTTAAGCACGATACAATTGATATGCACTTGGATTTTTCAGGCCCACTTCTTCTTAACCCAATAATGTCAGGTTAAGCATTCAAGATCCCAAAGTGAAGTCTTAAAACTATAAAAAGAGTGTAAGACACTAAAATCCCTGCTGGGCAACTGCTATTGATCATTCATACTCCTGCTAGCAAAACTTAAATATCGGTTATCAAAAGCCTTCTTGGTCATTTGGTTAATTAAGAAGGTTCTTAAGCTTGCTCCCTGTAAAAGTCCCACAACTAAAAGGGAAATGTTGAGATGGTTGCATAGCTGTATCTCTTACCTTTCTTGGGGCACTGTACATCATATGTTACTTTGTTAATGACAAGTTTAAAATCATTCATTAGCAAAATTTCCATCAAGGTCGAAGCTGGAATTTCACTGCCATCTGAAAGAAAATACATAATGTAAAAATATGTCCTTGCTTTATTATTTTTTTAATTTTTATTTATTTATGATAGTCACACACACACACACACACAGAGAGAGAGGCAGAGACATAGGCAGAGGGAGAAGCAGGCTCCATGCACTGGGAGCCCGACGTGGAATTCGATCCCGGGTCTCCAGGATCGCGCCCTGGGCCAAAGGCAGGCGCGAAACCGCTGCACCATCCAGGGATCCCTATGTCCTTGTTTTAAATGGTGAAAACCATTTTCCAACACATAGAAAATATTTACTAACCAGGTCTTTACAATACAGTAGTGGACATTTTCATTTTGGAGGGCTCTCCATATCCAGTACTGTTCCCATGGTGAGGAATCCTCCCTTCCTGCTCTACCTCGCATTACACCGGACCACACAGAGCAGGCAGGTGCTCCCTCTCTCACTTGCTCAGCTGGGCTGGGATCCAGGCAGATATTCCTAGTGAGACTTTATCTGCACAAGGTCACATAAAGCCTCAAGGAAGGTGGGAACACTTCACAGCAAGGCTAAAGCAGTGGAGGTGACATGTAGGGGGTGCAGGTGTCAGCAGAGCCCATCAGGTGGACCCTAGGCTAACCTGGTCTTTGCTCTGTTCTACCCCTGCCTTCTTCTGAGCCTGGTTCTCTGGGAATTCCAATATCCAAAATCTACTGACACACTCCTCTGCTCAGCCAGAGTCCATGTCTGCTGGCCCCTGATTGGTATGTGTAAGGCACACAGATAGTAACATTTAGAAGCCTTTTAATTATGAGAGGTGACTGATTTGTTAACACTTAGTGGCCAAACAGCACCACCAACCACTACCACAGAGGGCTCCCTGCTATTCTAGCTGGGGAAAGCTGAAGAGGCAAAGCTTCCAGGAGGGAAGCTTGATGATGTCACCTCAACTGATGAACAGGAACCCAGTATCAGCAGGGATACTGATAAACATAATTAAACCTAAGGAGTCAATCTGCGTATGTGTGGTTTTCATAGTAACTGCAAATACCCTAGGAACAACTGGGAGGGGGTGGGGAACCTCTTGAAAAATGTTAACCTCAGTGTGGTGTGCTTGGCATAGCTTCTTATATAGCCTAGTTTTTATTATATTTTTTAAGTTAAAAAAGTGTAGTACACTTTAATGCAACCCAGGTGTTAAGAAAGCAAATTCACTGAATAAGCAACAAACTGGTGGTAGATAAGGGTTTCTCTATCATTATCCCTTTAGAACAGTCCACACATAAGTGATATAAAGCCCAGGACAGTTATCTTCTCCTAGCCCGGCATTTGCCTGGCTACATTCAACTAAAGCTATTTCGGCTATATTAATATGTATGAACAATAGTGCTGCTAGCAAAATCAGGAAGAACCTGTTGTCTGCCTCCTGTCTGGCTCTCTCTAATTCTTTTGTTCCAGAAGGCAGCAAGTCAAGTCTGCACCTGGGTCTGTTCCTTGAATTTGGCTGTTTGGGTTCCTGTTCATCAGTTGGGGTGACATCATTTTCCCAGGAATTGCCAAATAATCCAACCCACACTATGGGCAAAACTGTGACAAGCTTAGAACACTCTTTTCAAGCCCAGATTAAATGCAGGCAAATTCCACCCACAGAGAGCCTCTCTCTTTTTAAAGATCAGCAACACACCAAATCATTTTATATGACTTTGCAAGTGTCATTTAAAAATTTACATTTAAATGACTTCAAACCTACTCCTTAAAATATGACTATAAATAGCAATCACCTGAGTGCGATTTCTCAGTTGAAGTACTACATTATCCTTTATACAGCAAAAGATTTATGTGAAACACTTTTAAGGACCTAATGATACAGTCTTGAATTTTCTACCGATTCTTGGGTAAGTATTGATTTAAACCCAATAAAGTGTTTTCACTCAGTCTCAAGAGCCCTTTTTTCTAAGATTCCTGTCTTTCCCTTTATGCTTTATGTTTCAAAGCTACTCAGATTTTTAGAAACAAGCACGGTACATGTCAATCACCGCTTAAATCTTGCTTATTTCATTCACTGAAGGGACACTTAGATGAGTATATATACCATCAGGCAAGGACTGTGCTCGGTCCCTTCTGGGCATAGCGGCTTGCAGCTGCCAGCTCTTAGAAGCTTAGCAAGCAGGCTCTGGCCCCTGGGCTTTGAGGGCTCCTGTGACCGTTCAGTCTAGTTCAGAGAAGAAGCACTAGGCCACTGTGGTTACAGGACTAAAACCTTATATTCTGATCCTGGTTTTGTCAGGAAGAAAGCTCCCCTTGCAGTTAAATCCAAAGTCCTTACCATAACCTACAATAAAGCTTTCCCTCATCCCTCCCACCAATACTGCTTCACCCAGCTGCCTCCTTTACAGCCACCGAGGCTTGACTCTCACAACTGGGCCTCTGCCAGGAGGGCTCCCCCATTTACACAGCTCCCCCTTCTCTTTGGTCTTCCTTCCAACCTGGAACATCACATTCCCCCCCCAAAACCCTGCCTTCCTGAGAGCATCTCCTCCCATACCTCCCTCCCAACTCCCCATTCTGAAGGCACCTCCTCCCACAGCACACACACCCCCACTCCAGAGTATCTTCCCCCACCACATAAACACCCACTCTGTAAGCATCTCCCATTACCATGCCCCACCACACCTCACTCCATGACTCTGTGAGCATCTCACTGTCATGCCAAACTCCCCATTCTGTGAGCACCTCCCACCCCACAACACCCCCACTCCAGAGCATCACCCCACACCACATAAACACCCACTCTGCAAGCATCTCCCCCCTCCACCACATACAAATCGACTCTGAGAGCACCTCCCACCCAACACAGCCCCACTCTGCTTTTTCTCTGTAACAGTCATTATCTAACATACTACATATTTTCGTTACCTTTTTCTTTCTCCTCTTAAAATATAACCTCAAGAAGATCAGGACTTTTTTATCTCTATTGTTCTTTGCCTCTGGCACCTAGCAGTGCCTGGAATATATTAGATGCTCAATTTGTTGAGTAAATAAATTCTTAATCTCTATTTTTCTGCTTCTATATCTATCCCTCATTTGGCTCTAAACTTGGATAGGGAAGGTGATTTCCTTTTCAAAACTGCAACAGTAATCACTAATGCTTAAATAATTTTACTCTAAGCATGTTCAAACTACAATAAAATAAAAATGTAAATTTGGTCATTTATCGCTATTTATAGCCTCTATGCTGGGCTGGGTTAAAGAATTCTTTATTCTATTTTAGGGGCAGTAGGTTCAAGACCACTTCAGACCATGAGGGCATAAAAGCTATACCCTAAAACTTGAAATGTCTAGTTATTAACCATCTCTATATTCTTTCTGAAAACTAATTCCATCAGAAAATATATGAGATCAAAACTGCTTTAAGGGGATCCCTGGGTGGCTCAGCGGTTTAGCACTTGCCTTCGGTCCAGGGCGTGATCCCGGAGACACGGGATCAAGTCCCACACGGGCTCCCTGCATGGAGCCTGCCTCTCCCTCTGCCTGTGTCTCTGCCTCTCTCTCTCTGTGCCTCTCATGAATAAATAAATAAAATATTTTTAAAAAAATAAAGATTAATGAATAATTTGTGTAATTATTCACTAGCTATTTTAATCATTAAAACTGCATTTTGTTTTCTGATTATTCAAATTGTGCTGCAATTTACAAGCTAATGACTGTCATTAAAATTTCCTCAGAAAAAATTTTTGGACTAAGTTTATAAAATAAGTAACTGACACGTTAAACCTATTCCATTAACTCTTTATTCAACAGAGTTAATTTTTTTATATTACTGGTATACAAAAATGGAAGACACAATAAAGGCCAACTATTTATTATATAATGAATTAAAGAATCAACTGTCTAGAATAAGAACAAAACAAAGGTTCAGAAGAAGAGAAAAAGACAAATTGAAAAAATATATATGTACCTGCTGTGAAGATGGCTGCAGTTTTGACACCTTTATCTTCATTTTGTAGGTCCTGAAGGAATGAACCAACTGTTGATAACATTGGTTTGACCACAAATTGACAGCGCTCTTTTCTGGATGGCAAAGTGAGTGTTATCAAGGGAAGTCCATGTCTATAATTAACTGTTACTTCTGGTGAAGAAAAAAAGCAGGAATATAGGAATGGATAAAACTTAATTTTTATTTTATTTATTTATTTATTTTAAAGATTTTATTTATTTATTCATGAGAGAGAGACACACACACACACACAGAGGTAGAGACATAGGCAAAGGGAGAAGCAGGATCCACGCAGGGAGCCTGATGTGGGACTTGATCCTGGGACTCCAGGATCACGCCCTGGGCTGAAGGCAGGCGCTAAACGGCTGAGCCACCCAGGGATCCCCAAAACTTAATTTTTTAAAAGCAATTTTAAAATACAAGATTCTATAAAAAATGCTTAAATGTGGAACTCCTAACCCTCTGAATTCCTATAATAGTGCCTTCATTATACTACAACTTACCTATTCTTTACCATTCAGTAACATTTCATTAAGCAGGGATGCCTGCGTGGCTCAGCAGTTGAGTGTCTGTCTGCCTTTGGCTCAGGGCGTGATCCCAGAGTCCCGGGATGGAGTCCCACCCACATCGTGCTCCCTGTATGGAGCGTGCTTCTCCCTCTGCCTGTGTCTCTGCCTCTCTGTGTCTCTCGTGAATAAATAAAATCTTTTTATGAAAAAAAAAACATTTCATTAAGAATGTGTCACACTTTATTATAATTATCTGCTCAGTCTTGCCAGGTGAAGAGTTAAGTTCTTGAGGGCAGAAACTGCTTCTAATTCATCTATAACTCATCTGCTTGTCAGGGTAGGAGTTTGCCAAAAGACATCAGAGACATTAAGGCAGCAGAAAAGGGAAGACCTGAACTGGGGGCAGGGATGGGGAGAGTATGGAGAGGCACAAGAAAAGTCCATTTTGCTCAAAATTCATATTCATCCTTTAATTTGGAAGAATGCAAAAACATTAGCATAGAGATCAAAGAAGTGATAAGAAAGCTTACCATCAGGGGGCACCACTGTACCATAAAAACGTGATTGATAGAATTTTAGATTTCCACACAGCTTCACACACAAAACCTGTAAGAAAGATGATTTCTTCTTTAGAAAAAGTGGGAAAGTTGAAATAAGTGTCTTTACCAGAAGATTTTTCTAAACTTACAGGATAAGCATGATAAACACTTCAGCTTCCCACACATACTCAGATAAGTAAGTCCTTAGAGAGAGGCTCACCAAACCTTTCTGCTTTGTTGTCCCATATGGTAGGCACTAGCCACACGTGACCATCAACATTAAAATTAACACTAATAATTCAGTTTCTCAGTCACTTTCACCACATTTCAAGTGTTCCATAGATCCAGGTGCCTATTGGCTACTGTATAAGCACAGAAACAGAACATTTCATCATCACAGAAAGTTCTACAGACAGTCCTGCTGGGCTTAGAACATCTAAAATGATTACTTTACGGGGAGCCTGGGTGGCTCAGTTGGTTAAACATCCGCCTTCAGCTCAGGTCATGGTCTCAGGGTCCCAGGATCCAGTCCCTCATTGGGATTCCTGCTCCACAGAGAGCCTGCTTCTCCTTCCTGCCTCTGCCACCCCTCCCACCTATTTCTCATGAATAAATAAAAATAAAATCTTAGAAGAAAAAAAATAAAATGGCTACTTTACTATGGGACATATTTTAGAGTTTGTGTTGGTGTTTGGTTTACAGTCGTACTGGGGCTTAAAGACTAGATGACATCACAGTATGCTATGTAGATAAAGACACATTGGTAGTTGAAAGAAAGGTCACTGGAAAATTGGTTCATAGGCATTTGGCACTCAAAAGAACCTGTACCAGAGGTCACAAACCCCAGTCTCAACATCCAGAGTTTTTTTCTTTTTAAGTAGGCTCCATGTCAGCATGGAACCAAACACAGGGCTTGAACTCACAAACCTGAAAATCAAGACCTGAGCTGAAATCAAGAGTTGACATATGAACTGACTGAGCCAACCAGGTATCCGAACATCCAGTGATTTTAACGTATCACCTTGCAAAGGGTTTATTAATAATAAACTTGCCAGTAATTATGAAATGAAGAATTCTTTCTCTGGTTGCTTTTAAAGATTTTTAAGTAATCTCCACATGGGGCTCAAATCCACAACCTCAAGGATCAAGAGTTGCATGCTCCACTGAGCCAGCCAGGTGTCCCAAGAATTCTTTTCTAAATTATATTTTTCAAGTTTTCATTTATACAAGGGTACACTTAAATCAAATGGTTAAAAATGTGCTCACTGCTATGAAAAATGAAACAATGTTTCACTACCCTCAAAATCAAAACAAGGTTATCAGTAAGTTAAACATTCAGATACATATTTCTAGTATTAAACAACACAGTCTATTAGTTACAACAAAATGTCATCTGTTACGTTAATTTATGGCTGTTCATTTGAATTTTATTTCTAAAAATAACTCACTACTAACACAAAAAGAAAGAATTTCTTTCTTAAAATTTCTTAAATTTATTTCTTAAAATAAATGTAGCTCTCACTGAATAAAGTAGGTAGAAGTTCTCCAAGTCTGGATAATGGATGGTACAATATTGTTATTCTTTTCCTACTACTTTTAGTTAAACTATAAGAAACTGAGAAAAAAATGTATCTTCTTGAAAACACATCAGAATTCTCTACCAAAATACTTCTTTAAAAATATTTAATGAGGGATGCCTGGGTGGCTCAGCAGTTCAGTCTGCCTTTGCTCAGGGCATGGTCCTGGGGTCCTGGGATGGAGTCCCACATCAGGCTCCCCGCAGGGAGCCTGCTTCTCCCTCTGCCTATGTCTCTGCCTCTCTCTCTCTCTCAGAAATAAAATCTTTAAAAATATAAAATAAAAATATTTAATGATATAAATGATTCTCTATGTATAAAAGTCAAATATAAAAAAGCCAGTTGTAAAAGTTAAAGCCCTCCCCTTTATTTTTCCCCCTTTTCCCCCCTTTATTTCTGCACCATTTCACAACTTCTCCCAGAGATAATTGCTGTAATGAGAAAAACTCTTAAAAAAAAAAAAAGACTATGTATTTCATGGGGGCGGGGGGAGAGAAAAAGAGCACAAGCAGGGGAACAGCAGAGGGAAAGGGAGAAGCAGGTTCCCTCAGAGCAGGGCTGTGGGGCTCTGTTCCAGAACCCTGAGATCATAACCTGAGCAGAAGGCAGACACTTAACCTACTGAGCCACCCAAGCACCCTAAAGACTCTCTCAACTAAACTTTAGACCGGCTCCTCTCAGCCTGACTGAGCCCTACCCTCTGGCGTATCCTCCAAGAGTCCCTTTTAACAAGAAACCTGTCAGTTTAGCCAGAATCCTCCACCCTCAGTATCCAATCAAATTCCTCATTCTCCACGTATAGGTATTATCTGATCATCCTGGTCTACTTTCAGGAAGAGTCTTCGTCAGTCAGTTTAGCAAAGAATTACCCTCCCCTCTCAGTAATTCTCCATCCATCACTCCCACCCACCCTGCTCTTCAGATATAAATCCCCATTTTCCTTGCTCCATTCGGAGCTGAGCCCAATCTCTCTCAACTGTAAAACCCCACTGTCCTTGTCCCCCTAATAAAGTCTGCCTTACCATTCTTCAACGAGTGCCATGAATAATTTTTTAAGAGCAGTTTGGTATGTAGCCTTCCAAGCCTTTTTCTCTATAGTACCACATTTACATCCTAGCTAAATTCTATGCTAGAGTCCAACATAAAGTTAGATAGCTTATGAGTCAGCTTCCTAGATACCAACAGTAATTCCCGATCAGAAAGTATCACTTAATGTGCTGATGAAGCTTCTCATCTACTACCAGGGAAATCATGTTAGAGGCAACCACTTGACAACCAGGAGATGCTGAAAGGTAGAAGAGCCAGCAAAACATACCAGAGCTTTCTCAAGTATTTGCATGCTTCCCAAGAATCACCTGACTATTACACTAGCATCTGTTAAGTAGACAGGGCTCGCTAAAAAGTTTCCTGGACCCCACGCAGAGATTTTTGATCTAGTAGGTCTGAAAGTAGGGGTGTAAGGATTTGCATTTTTAATAAGCCCCAGGGTTATACTAAAGTTACAGGTGTGAGGATCACACTCTGAGTACCTGGGCTCCAGAGGATCCTCCACGGCTTCCAGGGCACCGTGGAAATTTTGCATAGAATCATTTTGAATTCCAAATTTTAGCACTGGGTCAAAGGTCACTACCTTCAAATGGTATGATACTCAGGATCACATCAAAAGAAGACTCAAGGGGATCCCTGGATGGCTCAGCGGTTTGGCGCCTGCCTTTGGCCCAGGGCGCGATCCTGGGGTCCCGGGATCAAGTTCCTTGTCAGGCTCCCAACATGGAGCCTGTTTCTCCCTCCACCTGTGTCTCTGCCTCTCTATCATGAATAAATAAATAAAAATCTTTACTAAAAAAAAAAAGACTCAGACTTCTCATTTATCACATATTTTTCATAAATACAATTCTAATCAATCATAATACAACCCTAAAAACTTCTTAGGCTTCAACAGCTTATATAAAATAGAACAGTGGGCCTGGAAGCCAAAAATACTGGGATTCTAAACTTAATTCAGCCGCTTAACAGTTGGGAGATCATAGGTAAGTCACAGGGCCAACTCCGTGCTTCAGTTTTCTCAAGGGTTAGGTGGGAATAACATCTATCTTGCAGAGCTGATATAGAAATTAAACAAAACAAAGTACTACGCAAACACAAGACAGAGTTTATGAGCCCACGAAGTGCAGCATGGACCAACTCACCTCCACAGTTTTATCACTCACTAGAAACTTAGGACCCAGACAAACAAGCCAGGAGTCACTGACTTTTCATGAAAGTACCTTCTGTATTTACTTCTGCCTAACAAATCCTGTCACTCTCTCCAGGTCCAGCTAAAAAAAAATTTCCTCTTTAAGTCTTCCTGCAAGGTCAGGGTGGTCTAGTGGAGAGAAACAGGCTTTGCAATCAGATAAAGTTGGAATCCCAGCTTCAAGATATATCTTTGACAGGCAGAGTGTTCAGAAGGAAATGGGTTGTGAGAAAAAGGAGGAGATGGCTATATTAGAAGATAACAAAAGGGAAAAATATGATTAATATAGGAGAGGTCTGTTTGAGCTTCAAAGTAAAAGGGAGGCAGGCGGTAGTAGAAAGAAGATGTGTAACGAGCATGTGTTGGGGCCAATTGGCAAGATCAGATTGCTTTTAAGGATCTGGCATATTTTCAATTAAATATACTTATTGTTAATAAAATCAAGATGCACACTTAAGGGACCCCTGTGCTCCATTAAAAAACAGCATATGTATCTCCTTGTACCAAAACAAAAGAGAAACACAATGTTTTAAGCAAGGTTCAAGTAGAGAGTCAGCTAGGTTCTGGATCCTGAAGAAAAAAAAGTATCTCAATAGAAAAATATATATTGTCTATAGCACACTTTTTCAACTTAACACATTCTAGCCCTTTTCACTGGTTTGGGGCCATTTTGCAACTATTTAAACTGTAGGTAATGGATAGGTATATACATTCTGTCCAACCTGGTAGTGATTCAATACCCCTAATCAGTTTCATCTCCAATTGCAATTCATCTAAAAAATTCTTCTCTCCACATAAATTTGTACAATTTTCATTTTTCCTTTTGGCTGGATATAACATCTACCTGGACTCCTTTACATTATAATAAAATAAATTCTTTAATGTGTTCATTTTTTAATTCTAGGACAGTCACATTTTTACTTTTTTTTTTTTTCTGAAAAATTCTAAGAACTGAGAGTTTGACCCTTTTAGGGATAGGAGAGACTAAACGCATGACAAGCCTTCCAGTCATTTGATAACTTGACCTATGATATCTCCAGTATCACTGCAACATTCCAGGGCAGGGGCCATAGGTGGAAATTTAAGAACCGATTCTGGGCTCTGGCCACAGGATCCCACTTGGAAGCAATGTAAAATTACTAGCCAGAAAGGGGTGAGTACAGAATGAAAGATAAACTCGTAGAGTCTATACTCCAAAATTCTAGTATATGAGAAATGAAATGCTAAGGAGGAACCAACAACTTTATTTTGAAT